CCCATAAAATATAAGAAAATAATTTTTTTCCAACTTTTGCAATTTTATAGAATTTTTCGTAGAATTTTATTAATTATTTGCATTATTATGCATATTTATTTCCATTAAAAATCAAAAATACCAATAATACCATACATTGCATTTAGATTTTTGTTCACATTTTAGGAATTAATTAGTTGCTTTATTAAAAATGAAAATCACAAAAATGGCTCATTTTTACATTCTTAGCTTTAAATTTTGGATTATTAAGTTTTCTCTTTTAATTTAGGATCAACTAATTTTTATAAATATTATAGTTAGATAATTAGCTTAATTTTACAATTTGAATTAATTTAGGAATTTAGTTTATGTTTTTAATTAATTAAAGAAAGAAAAGAAAACAAAACGAAAAGGAAATTGAAAAGCTTGGTCTAAAATTCGAAATTGGGTCATGTAATGAGTGAGCCCAAATCTTTCAATACCCCTTCTTCACTTATACTAGCCCATCTCCTTACCCAGCCCAAACCGGGTCAACCCGACCCAACACCTAACAATCTTAACCCTACTTCTTCTAAAAAGGACGCTAGCCTAAGACCTACAAAAATCAGACGCTGCCTTAGAGCTAAAAAAAGGAGCGCCGTNCCTTCTCCAGCCACACCACTCAAATACACCGGAACTCCTTTCCTCTTTCAACGTTGTCGCAAATCGCCGGCGAACCAAACGGCCACCACTAGTCGCCCCTCTTAATTTTTCCATCTCTCACTTTTTTTAAAAAAAAAAAAAGAGAAGAAAACAGCTGCCAGACCTTTAAGCTCCATTTCTGGCCGTCACTGCTGTCGCCGGATTTCACCACTGGTTGACAGACAGCCTTGCAAATTCAAAACAGGGGAGAGAAAAGAGCACGGGCAGCTTCACACAAAAATAGTTTTTCTTTTCTTTTGAATTTTTGCTTCGAAAATAATGGAGTCCGTTTGAATCTTAGAGCCATCTCGGGTTGATTCGGAGTGTTATCTGAGGTTGAGTTCGAGGTCCAATCATAAGGTTTAAGTTGGTGATTCTGATTTGGTTCGCGATTCCGTTCGGGTCAGATTGCTTTTTGATTTCTGATTGAGGCTATGGTTCCATTTCGTTCATGTAATTATTGGATTTTGTTGATCAATCAAGAGGCTATTTCGGGTTCGTTTCTGATTCTTTTGCTCTATTTTGATGTGATTAAATTATGATAATAGTTGGATCTAGAGTTCTGAATTTTTTTAAATCCGTTTAGAGATAGATAATGGGAGTTAAGGCCAGTAGAAGCAATGAGTTTATATGAATTGTCTTCCTTAAATATGTTATGTGTTGTTGGTCAGCCATGTTGTTTCTGCTCGATTCATTTCCTTAAAGATGCCTTTGCTCATTTCATTTCCTTCTCGGCAGCATGAATTAGTTGGTTAGTTTTAGAATGATGAACACATGATATGTTTGGTTTAATAAGTTTGGGTAAAATTCATCGAGAACGCAAAGTAAATCACGGTAGGGAAGGAAATTAAGGGTAGTTGTATTTGAATTGATTCTATTTGGTGTTAATTCTTGTTTGTAGTTGATAACAAGTTGGAGTTTGATGAAATATAATGATAGGGGAGTTGAGGTAAAGATTTGGGCCAATTAATGTTAATTTGCTCACATATTTTAGGAATTGGGCTTGGTCGAATGCATGGAATGAAAAGTTAAAAGGACACGAGCATGAAATCTCTTTTAGTAAAAGTACTCCATAATTACAGGCCTTTTTCACTCACAATCACCATAAGAGATGAACATAATGAACTTCGTAGTTTACTTTAGGCGCGTTAATTATATAATTATCACGGCTATTACTAAAATCCGGGTATACATTTCATGTGACCTGGTTCCAATTTCCAACAAGGTTAAATAGAACGTGTCGTAAATCACGGGTGCATTTCATGTAGCGTGGCTTACGATGTGTTTTAAATAACCTTAAAATTTCCTGAAATATTAAAAGCGGTTAAAAAGTTAAAAGGGCACGTAGGTTTAAAATGTGTAATTAAATCAGATAATTAGGCCAATAATAATAGTTGAGCGACCGTGCTAGAACCACGAAACTCGGGAATGCCTAACACCTTCTGTCGGGTTAATAGAATTTCTTACCCAGATTTCTGTATTCGCGGACCATAAATAAGAGTCAAACTTCCTCAATTTGGGATATTAAATCGGTGACTTGGGACACCATAAATCATTCCAAGTGGCGACTCTGAATAAATAAATAAATCATGTTTCGATTGTCACTTAAATTGGAAAAATTCTCTTATACCCTTCCCGGGGTAGGAAAAAGAAGGTGTGACAACGACAATGCACAAAACCATCAATTGCTGGTTTAAATGCCCAAAACATGTATTTAAATATATATTCCGGGATTCCTGCACTCTGCTCAAGCTTCCATTCAACAATAGTCCCGGGGTTAAAGTGTTTCAGTATGGCCATGTACCTGAGTAGAGATGCAAATGACTTATCCTAGTCACCATAAACAATTTCAAATGCACGTTTGCGCCCGAGATATGCCTTTCTTTTGGTAATAGTACACCCATATTCCTGGTGGATGGATGTAATACATTCTTTGATCTTGTACCTAATGGATACTTCCAAGTGTGGAATCAGTTGAAGAAAAATCAAGTCAACATTCAAGTTGAAGTGATTCCCATTGAATGTGTCCACTTCACAATTGTGGGTGCTAATATATTAACCCACTTTTCACAACCTTGTTTCCTTCTTGCTCGCACGCAGCATCCAGTGACAACCCGTAAACCATCTACGGCAAACAACCTTGTATACATCCGGACTTAACTCTCATACTATCATCTCACGACACTCTCTTACATTATACATTTTACAAGCCCTGGATAGGCGAGCTTTATCGGGAAAAAATATGTCTTTTGTCAGCACTGTTGTTCTAGACTCATCCCACATTGTTGACCGAATTTCGTCAAGATCCCTTGTGAGGGCATCCACATCCGGCATACTTGGCAAATTATCAAGGTAGAGAATACGCCTTGAATGAAACGGCACGTGAGACTCGTACACTCTTGGTCTAACTAGAGGTGGAGCATGCTCCCTCGTCAGCTCAGGTTCGACATTCACTTCCTCCTCATCACCACCCTCCTTAGGGAAGGGTGTGTCATCTCCAAACTCATCGGCATTGTTGTCATAATCACTATTATCTTCCTGACTCTGCGCATCTGCCAAATCCCGAATAAATATGTCGTCTACCGGCAACTGAGTGAGGTCAGGATAAATACTTTATATATAGCTGTATCACTTCACTTACAAGTCATAATGTGTTGACATTCCATGATGGACATTATCTTGTTGGTGATGACTCTCGGATGGACCATCGTGATTCAACACACCAAAACTACCCATATTCCAACTGGGCGTGGGGTCATAACTTGTAAAATTTATATCTGGACGGTGCCCCATGTGGAATATATGAGTGTTAATACAAATTCAATACAAAAAAATAAACATTGTAACATAAAGAAAAATTGAAGTTTACCAGTCGTCTTGTGGATTATGTAAAGTAGGAGAGAAATTATTTCCTCGCTTCTCGTTCTCTTGTGGAGATAAGTTTAGATCCGACCAAACTCTTTCAGTCGAAACCTGTTGGGCTACAACTGCTCCAGAATAACTACCCGATAATTGAGGGTTATCACTGATCTGCGCAACATCATTATTGCGAACACCTTCATGCGTCACATGCATTTCCAACATTTTTACCAAAATAAGTTCCCAGTATTCATCCGGAGTCCCCAAAAAATCTCTCAGAGTTTCATCATCCTCGATGTTAAACTCAACGTAACAAGCAACCCCTTGCAAAGTCACAGCATACGGATATCTTCTGGTTACTTTAAGATTCACCGGACGCTTGCTCAATCTCATTTTATTGCATAACAACGATGTTAGTCTATCGTACTCCATTGTAAGTGGCAACTTAACATGACTCTATGGAGATAAATTATAGCTCACAGAGTTATTCACCACCACAACCTCACCCCTTCCCCCCTAATATAATGAAACCCTTACTTTTTGCTCTTCAAAAAAGCTTGAGAATTTAATAACAAGAAAAATTTATCACAAAGTTGGAGTATTTCTGAATGATTTTTCTCAAAAACCTTAACGCCTTTAAATAAGGCAATGCCCAATCCGGGAAGGTCAAATTTTTGGAAGTAAAACGCGGTTTAAAAGGGCATTTTACATATTTGAATTATTCGCAGCTAAAAAGGTACTTGTCTACTCTTAACACACTTATATCAAGGATATTTTCCATCATCAGCAGACTGCATAAAATTTGTTAACAACTAGTACATGATATTTGAGTATAGTAACCGCTATGACTCCAAAATTTGATCTTTGTCCTGTCAGTGATTTCTTCTGAAACTCCAACAAAAGGAAATTTTACAGAATTTTCAGCAAGTCCAGTTCATATCATCCTGCCAACTACTGCAATGAAATGTCATGCTACAAAAGCAGTCAACATTGAAATATCAGATTACCTAACCAATTAATTATGAGTAATGTGACACCTTCGTGCCCAGGACATGTAAGCTTCAAGGACCAAAGTCTAAGCAGCTGGCAATTATCACACTTGATAAGTCTTTTGAGTAAAGGATAACTGAAAGTTGCACTTTAGCCAACAACAACATACCCACTATAATCTCACAAGTGGCGGTGGTTTCTGAGGAGGGTAGTGTGTACGCAGACCTTACCCCTACCTCGTAGAGGTAGAGATGTTGTTTCTGAAGACCCTCGGCTCAAGGACAAAATGAAAAGGAGCAGTAGCAATAAGCAGTAACAACATCAATATAGAAAATAAAAAAAAAATTAAAAAAAATTGAAAGTTGCATGGTTAACACAAGCTCGCACACTTGCAGGAACTTCAATCATTGATGTTAGCACCCATTTGAAGCATTACTGCATAAGTCAATGCATCCTCAGAAGTGGCAAAAATTGCTAATTACTTTCTTGACTTTTGCAGCATAGCTATATTAGCCGTGACAGCAAAGCGAACAGTCAACTGTCGTCTCTGAGAGGACTAGCTAATTAAGAGCCTTACTGATTCAATCAGATTGAGGCTATTTGACAGAAATCTGATATTCGTAAGATATAGTTTCAGAAAGAGGAGAGACCACAAGATAAGAAATAATAGGCACAAGATAAGCTAAGATGACCTCTCCTTATGCAGTGATGTAGCGCTACTCATAGAAAATAGATAAGGAGAAAAAGAAGTTTGAAAATAACTTGACCATGAGCTTCGATACATCATGTGAAATATATATACATCCAACAACAACGACAACAACAGGAGGTAAAAGTGTTCTTTCCTACTCGATAGCATAATCCATGGCACTTTAACATGCACATAGGAAGAATATACTTCTCACATGTCTAACCAAGTTGGACCTGGGAAGTATAAAGTATTCAATTGATTTGCTCAAACATGCCACAGATTAGTCCAACAGTTTCTGCACTCGGTCTGATGACATAGTCATGAAGCTGAAAACTTTAATAAGCAACGACTAGAACATCTAGCTAGTTCTCTTTACTTGTTTCACAACTGATATTTTAGCTAAAATATAATTTGGCCAGAGATATTAAGAAACTTGTCTAGGATAGAAGCCTTTCACTCCTCGTGCTATAATATAGTGACAACACAAAGAATAGTCTTCAGGGAACTTCCATTTCTTTTGATACATCAAATATCATATCATCTCTAAGAAGATGCCTTTGCTATACACCTAAGAATATGCTGTCGTTAAATGTAACAAAAGATACATTTGTGTTTGATTTTAGTATACTTTCTTTTCCATTCAATGTACCTTTGGTTCCTTCCCTACCAAATGGTATACCCGATTTCTGCTGAATGATAGTCCAAGTCTCTGCTGCTCTTTTGGAAAGGCCTCTTCTGATCCAACACAGAAGAAATTCTTTTGTAGTTCTTGAGTATTGAGTGTTAAAATGAGGAAAGGTCTTTATGAGTGTTAATCTTCAGATCTCAAATAGCAGTTACAAGTTGAATGAAAAGAGCTTATACATATCTAAGTAAGAGCTTATACATATGATGACGGTGGTCGTGGCAGAAGCAGAATCTTCGGGAGGTAAGGAAAAAGCAATCAGAGTTTAGACTTTAGACTATTACTCTTTGACTTGGACCACTTGGTAAAGAACTACCTCCTTGCAACAAAAACTTGTTAGCGAAAAACAGTTCCTTTTGACATTTGGGAGGCTTTTGTAATGTACTGAACACGTTTATTTATTTATTTATTTAGGGATGAAAAGGTAAATGTTTTTATTGATGAGTACCAAGAAGTACTAGAAATAATGTGTACTGAGCACCTACGTAAGCAAATAACTATTTCCTAAAAGTTTTTGGAGCCCTGCTGCTTGATCCAAAGGCGAAGCTTAGCGCCGTTAAAATGCAGATCCACCGATCACTGGACTGCGCATTTGAGGTTTTGACAAGCATGAAAATCCAAAACTAGGTCCAGACGGTCTCACACTGATGTATTTCAGCACCTAGGCAGATCCTAATAAGAGCCCAATCAGTGGCGGAGGCAGGATTTCTACTAAGGGGTTTCAAAAAAGAAAAAAGTTAAAAAAATAGAAGAGATTGTAGCTAGTTGGAATTGAACCAATAACCTCACAAATGTTTTGAACCTCCATGACCACTGAGCTATATTTTTGGGTTGTAGTCAGGGGGATTCAAAACACAATATATAGAGGTAAAAAATAGATTTTGCCTTATATATACAGTGTAATTTTTCGCGAAAGGGGTTCGGGTGAACCCCCTTGTACCCCGCTAAATCCGCCCCTGAGCCCAATTATTTTTACAAACTTGGAGAAGAAAATACCAACCAAAGCATCAAATTCTTTGGAGGTAAACAAGACACATTCTGATAATAAGAATGACTTTTTTCCTGAGTTACTTATGATAGCAGCATAGAACTCTATATATAAATAAGGAAGTACTAGTGGCAAAGAAATCATGTCGTCCATAACTTTAAAATTCAAACTGCCAAGCTACAGCTGATTAGGGTATTGTATTCACAAGTTTTATAATTCCAGAGACAATGTTCCAGAGCACGCATATGTTTCCCCAAAAACATCAGAAGCAACAAATCCTTGAATCTGATTCTGATCACAGTTGAGAAAAGTTTGTTACTTTATAGGATCGGATTTCTACCTTCCAGTCGTAGTAACTCTGGCTGCAATTAGTTAAATTTTTTATTTTAGTTCAAAAACACCAAAGATCCATTTGGATGAAGATATTGGGATTTAATAGGCGATAGCAAAAATATAGATCCAAATTTTAAGATTCCAAATGACATATTTCAAGTGTCATTAGAAAGGAATCCAAAATAATCGCTAGATGGATGTAATTTGAGTTAATAGTTTAAATTCTAAAATGTAATAGCAATTAGCATAAGCGCAAGTACTATAGTGAATGAATGCATGAAAGCATAACATCAATAAGAACATTTAATTATAAAAACCTAAACATATCAGAGAACAACTATGTGCAAAAACGGTATGCTTATTACCGCATATTTCAACATGAAGCAAGCACGTTAGAAAAAGCAAGAATATTATTCAGTTTTGGCATTACCAACAGGCTAGCCTAGACGATATGATCAACCAGTTTGTCTGCGCTCGAACCCAGTTCCAGGGTCATCATCACAAGGGAAGACATCTAGTCCAGTGACAATAGCAGCTGGTGGACCTCTCCGGCACCTTTGCTCCATTTCCTGAACCTTTTCCGGGCTTCCAGAAAACAAAGCCTCCACAGATCCATCTCTCCGATTTCGAACCCAACCCTTCAATCCCAATTCCTTAGCATTCTCCACAGTCCAGTCCCTGTAAAACACCCCTTGCACTCTCCCCTTAATCACAGCTCTAACCTGCAGCCACAAGCACATAAATAACCTATCAAACACCCCTTACAGAGAAAAGCTTAAAGTCTCATCTTGTTTTAAAATTTTCAACTGAAAATCACAGCTAGGCTGCAGCGACAACACACAAATACCCGAAACCAAATAATCAAACAACCATAAGTGAAAAATGGCTTAAAGTTTAATTTTTTATTTTAAAGATTATCAACCGAAAATCACAGCAAACCAAGACCCGCAGAACACAAATACCTAAAACCAGATATAATCAAACACAAATTAACCAAATAATTAGATAAAATCTCATTCTTTTTGAAGAACTTTAATTTGAAAATCACAGCTAATCAGCAACCACAGCCCACATACCCAAAACCCAGAAACAGTCTCCATAAAGAGAAAAATAGCCCAACTCCTATCTCTTCCAAATACCCCAGCTTACCTGCAGCCAGGGCGGAGTTAGGTTCAAGCAAGGGGGTTCAACTGAATCCTCTTTGCCGAAACTATGCAAATAGGGGAAAACTGATTTTTCTTTTGTGGTACATAAACTGCACATAAGGGAAGATTCTAGTGTAATGGCAAAGGGAGTTCAAGAATTTCTTTAGGAATAATCAAAAAATTGGAAATAATACCCAAAAGCTTTAAAATAATATTTTCTCAAGAATTTCAAATAAAATTGGAAATGGTATCTGGGACTTACAGTTTTAGCATCAGGGGTAGCATTGGAATTCTGATCAGAGGTTAAGGAGGACATAGGAGATGAGAGATGAGGTGAACGAAGTCTGCGCAGAAGAGGAAGAGAAGTACAAGGAAGAAGAAAACGAGAGCTAAACGGAAGAGAACAAAAACGAAGACCAAGACGAAGATGTAGTAAAGGAGGAAGCTGAAAGGAGACTCGTGTTGGTTTATGTATATTAGTAACATTTTCGGTAAGAATAAACAAGCTTCTTTTTTGACATTGCCATGGCGGCTCAAGATGGTTCCTAATAATAAAGTGGGATTTGAAGAGCGAGTTTGTGATACAAGATGATGTGGAGGGTGACAACAATGCCATTTGAATCGTTTTCAGTTGACCTTTTTTTGGGTTCTGGATTTTTCGCGTAGATATGGTGGGAAAAGCTAAGAGTGATGAGCTTTGATTCTGAGTGATGTGGACTTGCATCTGAGGTAACTGGAAAATTCTAGTCCACTGACTGGAGAATCTGGACCAGTAGAATCTTGGGCCGCCCAAACAGTTTAGTTAACAAAAACAATTAGTAGTACATTTTCTCATTCTAGTCAAACTAATGCTGTATTGTGGTCCGAGCCCGGGCCAAACGGGCCTGGGCTTGAGGCGGGATGGGCTGAGGCGGTCCCGGGTCAAACGGTCCCAATGTGTGGAACCGGCCCACGGCGGTCCTAAGCCCACATGATCCCGGACTAAATGGGTCGAGCCCGCGGGCCTAACGGGCTTTTTTCGTTTCGAGCTATTTTTTTAATTTTTTTTTATCTAAGGCACTTTCTTGTAAACTAAATATGTATATACTAGTATAAATTGCTTATATATAGCTATATAAATATATATAGCATATATAATATGTATTAGATATATATATATATATATATATAGTTTATATGTATAATATATATAATATATATACTATATCAAATTTAAACACAAAATAAATTGCAAAGAAATATTCAAGGGAATGTCTTATTTAATTTACTATTACGACATTAACAAAGAATGACAATATCTTTATTAGTCTTTCTCTCCCCAATGGAATGAGCACAACAAGGTACTAATACCACCATTAAAAGAAAAGAAAAAACTAAGGAAGATGTGCCAAAATACAAGTTACATGTTAGTCTATGTATTATCTCTAACAAATCTCATAAATCCCTGAAGGTCCGAAAGAATTTCCGTTGGTGGTGGTGGAAAAGAAGCTTGTTCATCACCGTTTCCGGGCGAAGCAGCATCCTGCGCAAGTTCCGCTAGCATTTCTTCATAAGTTTCATCTATCTCCGATTGTGATTCTGCAAGTCCAAAATTTCTTCTTTCCAAACGGATCCTATCTCTGAAGAGTACTGATTTTTTCAAGCTCTCCCTCATAGACGCTCTATGATCACCGATTGAAGTCTCGCTTGACTGAATGCGCTCTCCGATGCCACTGTTGAATCTTGAACACTTAAAGTATCTCGAGTCATCCTTGAAAGAACTGGATAGTATTTTTGTTTGTCCTTCCACCATTCCAAAACATCGAAGGAGCCGTCGGGATTCTCTGATTCAAGTCCATGCGACAAATAAACTTGAAGCTCATTTAGTTATGAACAATCACCAAAATTATCACCTTGAGAACCCCTGAACTCCGTCCAAGAACTAAGGGCTTTTAGGCCCGCAGTTCTTTTAGATGCTTGCGAACTAGACGAAGTAGGAGTTGGAACATTTGGTCTAGTTTGATCTAATGCAAGTTAATAAGCATTATAAATAGTTTGAGCATTTATTTTAATTGAGGCTTTTGCATCTCCAAGTGTAGCAAATTCCTCAGCTGAAAGTGATAAAGCGTTATAAATTTTTGAATACCAAAAGTGAGGACCTCCTAATTTCATTGTAGGATTTAACAATGCAGCAACACCAAAAATAGGGGGGATAGGGAAAAAATATTTTTTAAACTTAGCTTTCATAGAATTAATAGCTTCTTCATAAATTACTCCACCCTCTGAAAATTGAGTAAATAAATCTACAAGTGCTGCAATATAAACTAAACAGTTAGAAATAGTAGGATAATATTGGCCAGATAATTCATTTGTAGCAATATGAAATTGTTCTAAAAAGTCTACAAGCATTTTAACATTACTCCAATCTTGATTTGTAAGGTGCTCGTCATCATCATCATCACCATCACCTACACGAGCATTATACGTTGCGTTTTTTTTTAAAATTAGTCGTTGGAGCCCGTTAGGCCCATTGGGCCCGGTTGAACCGGCCCAGGCCCGTCTGCTGGTCCCGGGCCAGGCCCGGGCCACAATACAGCCTCATTCTAGTGTATACTGTATACATTTATGACCGCTCCTAAAAATAAAAGCCGGTAAATTATATATTTATATAATATAATATTGTTTGGTCAAAAATTATGGAAACTTTTTTTATTAAATCAATTAAAGATGTTGAAGGAGTAAACTTCAGCCAAGTATAATAAGATCTAGCTTGAAAAATGCAAAGAATGAACAAGATGAACGATGTTTCTTAATACCTCAAAACCGAACGATTAAGCGTAAATATGACAACTTTGAATGTAAAAAGATTTCGCAATGGATGTTCTTAACCAAAAGTAAAAACCATATATCATTCTCAAAATTGTGATAAGTCCAGAATCCCCCTTTTACAGAATATTCTCCCTCCTTTTATAGGAGACAATCCCCCTCTTATCCTAAAAGAAAAAGAAAGGTATAACGCAAGGAATATTCGAAAGGCATATTCCCATTGTTTCCTATCATGCTAACATGACCACAGATATCGTGCATTCTCTAGCCACTGTTAGTTGTCTCTCATCATAATGATCTTAAGACGCGGCGTCGTAGTCGTCCAAATTTTGACCTATACAGTTAGTCCCTCCGCTTGTCGAGGTCGCAACCTGGAAGCTTCCTTGATAAGCGGATGTCGTCCATGCTTACGAAGAAATTTGATCTGCAAACCATGACGATTTTGGCTGATAACGGAAGAACGATGCACTTCGCTATACCTTGGGCGGTGTGTTCTATTTGTGAAGTGACATCACTTCCACGTGCATCATCATGGCGCATCTTCCCGAGGAATAACATGATGGCCTGTCGTTTTGGTTTTGCTGCCATGGGAAGCGTTTTCGCTTCAATTCTGGCGCCACCCAACCCTATAAATAGGGGAAGGGTTTGTTTTTACGTTTGGCCATTTCTCTTCTGATCATTCCCTTTTGCATTTTTAGCTTTGCTTCTGCGATTTTCTTCATCTTTTCTTTCTTGTTTATTGTTCTTGGTCTTCCTCGTTCCATTATCACATCTCCTTCCATAGACATTCCTAGAACACACCGATCACGTGAGGGGATTTCTGACGTCATTTCGCTATCTGTGACACTCCCTTCCGGTGGCGAGGACATGGCGGTAGAGGAAGGGGATAGCTTTGACATCGTGGATGAGTTACTACCGAGACACCTCATGTCTCGAAGTGACTTTATCAAAGAACCTGCTCCTACTCCTACTTCAGTAGTATCTGAAACTGAGCTGGCCCACATAGACACTCTCCATACCAAATACAATATTCCCCCTCATGTCGAGATGGTTCTGGCGGGAAGGGACTTCGTGGAAGTCTATAGACTGGGGTATTGTGCCTTTTATGAGTACCCCTTTGTGATTGGCCATTCCTTCCCCTTTCTCCCGTTAGCAGAAGAATTCTGTCGATTTTACCAGGTTTGCCCGACATAACTTTCTCCGTACACGTACAAAATTCTTTTCGTGTTGAGAAAGTACGCGGAGCTGGCAGGGTGTGAAGTTAATATTCACCATCTCCTACACCAGTTTTCCCCTAGTTTTCACAAGGGTACTATGGTGCATTTGAGGCACCGTGGGATAAAAGGGCTGGTGGTCGGAACTGACAACCGAGTGAGCCGTAAATTTTGGCATAATTATTTCTTCGTCAGAAGTGAACACATTATGTCGGACCCCGCTAGATTCCCGGAGCGGTGGAATGAGAATCGAAAGGGTCATAACTTGTTTATTTTTTTTTTCTCCCTTTTTTTCCGACTTAGCATTTGTTTGTAACTCTCTTTTACAGCTATGGGACGTCCACCCCGTCCCATCACCGAGATAAGGAATTGGGTAGCCCGTTTGTTGCTTCAAGCAGTGGAGACTCAAGACTGGCCCGCTTTTGTAAAACGCTATGTGCCGAAGGTCTCATCTGGTAAGCATCCTCCTCTATACCGCTCTTCAGCCATTTGCCATTGTCTACTGATACGACTCTCTATGACAACAGGTCATGGGGCTTCTAGGCAGAGGGCCCCAGTCCCTGTATTTTGCCAGGTCGTTGCCTCTGCAAGTATGCAATTCACTTTGGATGAGTCCGTCCGAGAAGGTCGTGCTCAGCCGGTATAGGTGAGAGACTCCTCTCGGGATATGGTCGTGAGGGAGGAGATCTCTTCTTTACCGGTACATCACCTCGTGGATGAGTCTTATAATGGGGACGAATCTTCGTTGAGAAAAAGGAGAAGGGTAGAGCTCGGGAAGGGCATGGCTGTTGATACTGGTAAGAGTGGGACGGGTGCGTTGAGGATGGCACCAATGCCCGTGTTTATGGCCGATGCCATCTTGGCGGGGAGGTCTCCCCAAACGGAAGGGGTTTACCAAGGAGGAGGGTATGTGCGCTTTGCTGAGGGCGGCGCGTCATCTACTGACGAAGGGGGCTTGCGTGCTGAAGGTGACGACTCAGGCTCGGACATCAACCCAGGGGATATTCGCGAGTTTGTGGAGCGTCACACTCATGTAGAGGTCAGAATAGAGGGTTCTTGTCCACACATAGTCATCCTTGGGGACTACGGCTTGTTGTCGAACTGTGATCGGGTGGCGTCTGTTTTTGCCCCTTTGTGTGCTGCCCCTGAGAGCGAGGCACTTAGATCGATGAGTGACGCGGAATCATCTCAGAGCATTTCTGGCATGACTTTGTGGGTAAATATATTTCTTTTCATTTTGTCATTGTATCTATGTTACTATTTTTGCCCATCCTTTCATTTTAACTTTAGTTTTCTTGCTAGACCCTCATCATGAAGATCGAGCGTGAGCGTCGGGAAAGGAAGAGGATGACCATCTATAGGAAGATGTCTTCCAAGTATCAAGAATTTCGCACCTAGCATCGTGCGATGGTCGATATCTACAATCAGGATCACGACTTCCAACTGTTCCGCGAAAGACTCAAGAGGAGGGAGGATCAATTGGCACGTAAGGTCAAAGAGCTGAAGGAATGAGATGAGGACCTTATAAAGGCTGTAGCCTGTGGTAGTGAGCTCGAGGCAGCCCTTAAAGTCAGGAAAGATGAGATTGAGCTAAGTAGGGGTGTAATGGCCGAAAATGCCAACCTCCAAGCAAAGGTGGCCAATTTAACTAC